GCTGTCAAACGATTAATCATGATTAATCGCATCCAAAATAAAAGCATTTGTTTACATATACTTTTGTTTTGTTTACATATACTTTTTTTGTTCTTGTTAAAAAAGGCTGATGTGATGAAAACATCCATGCTGAAAATTCAGCTTTGATCACAGCAATAAATTACGTTTTAAAATATATTACAATAGAAAACAGTTATATATATATTATAGTATATATTTCACAGTATTGCTGCTAATGTATTTTCACAGCCTTGGAAATGCAGCCTCGGTTGGCATAAGAGCCTTATTTTAAAAAAAACAAAAAAACATTACAAAAATTATTACTATGAATTATTAACTGGCAGTGTAAGTAGAAATAAGAATAAAATGACAAGAAACATTAATGTAATGCCATTTTTGTTGCCACTCAATGAGGCAAGATACATTTAGCAACAGTAAGACAACAAATGAAATATACAGTTTAACAGCTGGGCAAAATAAAATAAAATACATTTAGCTTGCTCTCTTCCTCTGGGTGTTTTTGAGTTTCACTGTTTCCTCCTGAGATTAATATTTTTTGTTTGTGTTTTTGCTGTTTGGCATGTTGTTAATCCCGAGCTCAAGCCAGTGGCCACCTGTTCCTCCATTTCCTCATCTGACTCTCTGCTGACATCTGCTGACAGTGTGTAGAACCACACCAGTGCTAATATGTGCTCATTTTGATCTCTGGGTCACTAAATGAAGCAAATAAAGTATGATATATCCTCCTGAGATCCGGAAAAAAAAGTTTTGTGAATTTAGTATTTTTTCATGTCATTACATTGTTTAGAACATAAGAAAAAAGAAAAGAAAAAGAAAAATGTATTCATGTCATGCTATGTCCTCGGTAGAGGACACCGGGACTCATTTTTTTAAAATAAATAATAATAATAATAATAATAATAATAAAAATACATGAGTGAACCTGTTGTGATGTTTTATAATAGTTTACAACTGCAACTACAAATTCATAAGAGGAATTTACAGTATTTAATCTTTAAAGCCTTAAATCCATTTCATTCAAATATAAATAAATAAATAAATAAAATGATTGAATGAATGAATTGTATAGGCATTTCTTAAAGCTGTTTCCTACGCAGGGTTTTGTAAAAGATCTCTTTGCACTCTGTCTATCTATCAATTGTTCCCATTTCCCACCATCTGTCAGTGTCTGAAGCCTGTGAAAGGCTTTTATAGTGATGTGTCTCTTCATCAGCCTGAGGTTTTGTGTTTCAGGCCTGATCTCTGGCAGCACAGATACACTGATCTGATTCCATCTGGCTGTCTCTAGATATTTGTACTTCCTGAATCAATTTTAGGATTTTCTTAACCAAATCTTACACTTAACAGCCAGAATGATGAAATCGGTGCAGAAGAGAGCATACATTTCTGCTTTCATGCTGCTTTACACACTCTGTATTTAGCGCAGGGAAGACTGATACCTCACTGCATTAAACAAGTGTGAGTTCACTGACGGAAGCATACTGTGACCTGCAGCAATGAAAGACTGGGTTTTGTTCTGCTGAGCTTTGCAGATCTCAATATAAAGATTAGAAATAAAAT